CAAAAGCAACAAAAGAGGAGTAGAAAGAAAGAAAACAAAATAAACTATATAGTTGCTAAAAATCAGAATATTCCTTTTTAAGAAATGAGAGCCCATTCCCTGAAGCTAATCCAGCATGGGCTGGATAACCACTGAGAGGGATGTTCCAGAGAAGATTCAAAGAGGAGTTGTACAGAATGTCTCTTCAGCCCTAAGATTCTGTGGTTCTATTTCTCATCCTCACCAGTAATAGCTGTGGCCACTTAAAGAAACAAACACAAAACAAAAAATGGTCCCAACATCCTAAATGTATAAAGAAAATACTCACCTTATAAATAGAGTTCCTTGAAATAAATAACTGAAGTAGATTTTAAATGTTTATTTTCAARCCATCATCAACCAAAAATAAAAGAGAAGGAAAGAACGGAGGAACTTCAAGGTCATGCTCAAGGGACAAGAGCCAAATAGAAAGTCCAGCCATAAATGAAGATCTGGTATCAAAAAAAAAWTGAAGGATTCCATTTATCCTCAATATCTCTCAAACACATGTATTCTTTAGAAATAGATGATTTAAATAGATGGATTTGATTTTAAAAAAGTCATGAAGTTCAAAAGCTTTATTGCCTTATGTTAAATCACAAGGCTTCATCTTCTCTATCTTTCTGCTAATATTGATCATTAGATTCAACTTTTTGACACTTTCAAAGAAAGGTAGCTGAAGGTTACCCTAAGAACAATTGCAAGAAAAAGCAAGCACTGTTGAGCTGTTAATAACCCAGATTATCATCCATTCCCCTTTCAGAGCCCATGTATTTAACCAGTTTTCTGTTTTATAAATATTACCATGGCTCAACACATCTCTGAGACACAACATTACCCACGGTTCTCATCCTGTTTGCTAACTAATTATATCAACAACCTGAACCAACTTAACACTATACAAAAACACAGCTGACTTAGCAATCTGTATATTATACATGTACATAAATCTGTACCAAAATGTACTGCATTTCACTTCTGTTAATGTTCATGGATTCTTACTGGCACCTACGATTGTTTGATATAGGTTCCTGAACACTAAAACATATGTTYTGCCTAGAATTAGACCATTTAGAGTAATATTTTTGCAGTTTCCTGGCACCAAGGTCTGCTAGCCTAAGACATATCTCCTATTTACTTCAACAAGCATTGTGACGAGTGCCTGCAGATTTAAGCAATCATCAAAAAACATTTCGGAACAACACTTTCCAACCATGAAKATCAAGCAAAGCAGACTGGTTTTGCCTATGTGGCAACAAGGCAAATAGGATTTGAAATGATCAATGATATGATCATAAGCAAAATCAGATAGAATATAGGGTATTGATTATTCCTGCTGACTACTTATGACAATCCAAAAAAAAACACGTAACGATCAAATCTTTTCTTTGAATCATACTCAAAATGTACCAAAGAAAGCTAAACTAGGTTTAGTGCCTGTAAGACCAGTAAGCATCTTAAAAATGTACAATGATAGGCCTAAATAAGAGCCGCAGCCATTCAACACTGTGGAATATGAGGAAGGACCTTGGACCAAGATTCACTAGGATGTGACTTACTCATAGTAAGGTGGGTTTCTTGTTTTTTACTATATCTCCAGAGTTCAATAAAATATGCTCAATAAATCTTTGTTGAATGGTAAGCCCATAACAAATGCTGGCTAGTCCTGATCTGCCTGTAAATCTTTTTCTAACTACCTCTTAATGAATCACTTAATCTGAAGATTCTAGCTCGATAAGCTCTAACCTGGAGACACTGCTCCTCCTCTGCTGATTAATGAGGATCAAAGGTGACAGCCTATGAAAAGTTGAGTTGAGGGCTGAGGCTGTGGCTCAGCGGTAGTACACTTGCCTGGCATGTGTGAGGAACTGGGTTCAATTCTCAACAACATATAAGTAAATAAATAATAAAGGTCTATCAACAACTACAAAAAAAAAAAAAAGTGAGTTGGGACTCCATGAAGGAGCACACAGGTGTGGAGTATGGCTCCTCCCACCCATGCCTTCTGCTAAGCCACTGAGGAAGGTGGGGAGACTGCAATTCCTTGAAATATAATTGGCCTCTCCTTTGCCCTATTAGTCTGATTGGGTAGTGTGGCTGTTAGCCAAAATGGATCTTGTTCCTATTGTTATAACATTTTATTTAATCTCCACTGGGGAATGATGTTTCTTGAGGGAAATAATGGTAAGACAAGGAATGCTGATGTGTGGCATACTAGAGAGAATGTGACACTGCAGTGGAGGAGACTGGGCCTGACCAGTTCTGCCATTAAATATTTTAGGAAAGTTGCTTGCAGCAATTTCTTTATGGATACAGGAATATAAAAGAAAGAAAATACTAGATAGTATCTAAGGTCCATCTCATAGTTCAATGATATTCAGACACTAGATATTAAAATCATCCCCAAACAAGGCCAGTTCTATTATCCATTAGTATATAATATGAGTAGATATTTTAAGGATGATAAAAATAGTTCCATGGACCAAGGCCTAAGGGCTAGGTAATAATGTTGCTACAAGATGTATGAATGATATTCTCTAAAGGACACCAGCTTCAGGAACTATCTGCCCTGCCACTTTGAATAAGTCACTTAATATGTCTAGGGCTCAGTTTTCTGATCTGTAAAAGAGGAACAATAATATAATACAGGACCACTGGGACGAATACCTAACAGAACGATTATGAGGTATTGCTATTTAAAGATAAAATGCTATTTAAATGCTGTCGTGTCCAAAAATAAGCAGGTGGATTTTAGGAAGAGACAATCAATATTTTTTAAATAGACCTTTGCCATCACAGTAAAATAATGTAATGCATGCAGATATTGTGATATTTCTGAGAGTTCACATTTTTGTCCATTTGGGTTCAGGGAATATTATGAAACGGATCACTAAAAATATAAATCCCACTTTTCAAGATCAGCATTTCTTCTTCTGAAATAATAGAGCATTTTAAAAGTTCAACCAACTGGTCCAAGATGATTTGTTTTTGTTGTTGATGTTGTTGGTCTGGTTGGTTAATTGAAATCAAGCTGTTGGAGCTGGTGCTGAGATGAAAATGCCAGCGCTAAAAATATTCCCCAGCGGCTGCCTCTATTGACATGCTTACCCAGAAGGGGCTCTAGAGCCAGCAAACTAGAAGCTATTCTGCCTGCTTAGCTCAGGTTTCTCAAGGTCCTCCTACAAACCCAAGGATCCCTGAGACTTGCATGTAGGATTCTCTTCCTCCTATTCACAACCTAGATAATATACATTAGATACTGAGCTTTCCAACTTACAGGATACTACCTCTCCACCAAAAGGTGGAATTGTCATTGATATTTAAATGTAAGTTGATATCACTGACAATGGAATCTCCCACCTGCAAATTGTCTCCATACTCCCTAACAGTGGCAATAACAGTAACTCTTAAATGATGATTTTATTTAAAAATCCATGTACACTTCCAGCTTTATGTCAGAACAGTTCATTGTGACTGTTCATACAGTAATTACATCCCCAGGTAATGATTGTGACCTTGCTCAAAAAGCCTCTGAGTCTGTTTGACTGGAGAAGATCTTGAAGGGAAGGGGGATATCTGAAACACTCTTTAATATTCTTACTCCTAAGAGGCACACAATAAAGGAATGATTGTTTCCAAAAAAAAAAAAAAAAACACTTAAGTAATGTATGATGCCTGCTATCCCAGTTCATACTTTTTTCTTGTAAGATGAACTTAAATCACTTTTTAATAAAAGAATATTTATTAGTAGCAGAAGTTCACTTTTCATGCTCTTCCTCTGAATGAATCCCTAACTAAATCCAAATGGAAACACATAGTTTTAAATACAAGTTCCTAAGGCTCAGAAACTGTGATACTTGCACTTTATTAAAACCCATTTCCTGAGTTAGTTCCTCAGACTTAGTAGAATAGCATCTGTCTCTGGAAGGAGAGGGGTCCAAGCGTCTGCAAAGAGCATCTGGGGCTTGGCTGCCTCTCCTCTCGTTGTAGCTGTTTGATGAACAGGTGTATGCGGCACCTTCCAAAAGCCAAGACTCCGCAAGTGCTTGAGCCCAGGTCACTCAGCTGCGTGTCCAAAAGGCATATGAAATCCGTTCCCTTTCCATCCCTGTTCCTAGGAATCTCACCTCCCGGAGCTTCAAGCCACTGTCCATCTTAACCATAGGGAAACAGACGAGTGCCCAGTACAGGTTTATTGGGTAATGGATCCAAAGATAGGCTTGGTGAATTTGGGGATTGACAGGTGAGCATGAAACACTGTTGTGGGTTTAGAAGAGAATAAATGTGAGATTTGTACCTGTGTGGCCACTTAGCCCGCTTTATTCCTGTGCCCTCCACTTCCCACCTCAATCCAGCAAAACCATTGAACCGTCATGCTCTTTCACCTCGAAAAGGGTGCGTGGGCAAAAGGACAGAATCAGGCAACCCTGATAGCACGTCCCAACTCCCCACATCCCTACACCTCAGACTTTTCAACTGCAGGGATGGAAGGTGGAGACAGCTGCATCCTCCCATCCGGAGGGGGCCAGAACCCAGAGTTGCCCGTCTTTACTGCTGGCTCTCCAGGGGAGAAAGGAGGCACCTCGGATAGCAGATAGAGCCTTCGCGGAGTGGTAGGCAGTACTGATGCGCTGCCGCTCCTGCTGCGTCCAGCTTCCAGTCACTTTTCCCAGTACTTTGCTTATCAACTGTCACGCTTTTTTGGCGATGAAGACAGAGAGGAAACTAGAAAGGCCCAAAAGGTGTCCCCTAGATTCTCTGCCCTTGGGATGGGGGCGCATCGGACACCGCCCCGCCCTGCCCACCTTCCCCTGCCTCCGGGTGGCAGCCCCGGGCGCCCGCCCTGTGGCGGTGCAGAGCTCCGGGGTTCTGCTGCGTCTGCTGGCACGGTGCAGCGGGAGGCGTCGGTGATAAAGGCATCGATTAAAACCAAAAAAAAAAACAAAAAATCTGGGAAACCGAAATCTGAATGCACCTCTTACCATTGGACCGCCGGACAATATTCTCCAGAAACGTGTTTTGCGGGGCCACCAGTCCCCTCCTGCCCCCGGCCATGGTCATCCTCCCGGCAGCTCGGGGTCTGGGGGCGTCCCGACGCGGCTTCTCACCGCAGCAGGCAGCAGGGCGCGAGACCCGCACGCGATCCGGACTCGAAGCACCCCATGCGCCCCACGGGGCCCGGGGCGGGCAGGGGCGGCGGCTCGCTCCGGCTGCCACCCTCGCGCCCTCTCGGTACCTCCCTCCCTGCGGCCCGCCTCGCAGTGCACTCGCGCGGGGCTCGGCTCCCTGCAACCGCCTTCGGGTGGGCGGAGGGAGCCGCGGCGCCTGGGCCGGCGGCGCCCCCTACCGGGCGCGCGTTCGCCCAACGGCCTGCGGGAGACCGAAGTGGGCTCCCTCCGAGGCCGAGGAGCGACCCGCAGCAGTGGACTAAGGCTGGGACGGCAGCGGCACCCTCTGGGCACAGTTGGGAAATATGTCCAAGACCCTAGGTGGAGAGGAGGACGTCGTGAGCAGCTTTCTGGATAAATTCACTCCAAAAAAAGTCCCTAAGAGTCTAGGGGAACACCATGATATAACTTTCTTTGCTGTTTCGGACAGGAGGCTTGGAACCTSCGAGGCTCTTGGAACACCTTCCTGCCCTCCCACAGGGTTTGTTAGCCTGATTTGGATTTGTGAGTTTCCTCCACATTGATTCTCAAGCCAGTGTTTTGCCCGTATTCAAAGAAATCATATTGGAAGAGGGCAGACTTGCAAAGTGACTGACAGCTTCAGCACAGGTGTCTTGAGCTGTCTTTACTATCTGTACACAAGCCGCATCCTGACAATAAGTTTCCTGACTGAAGGATCTTGGCCCCATTCTTATCCAGCAAATAATTTACCAAAAGACCAAGAAAGTACATGAGCATTACGTAACATAACTTCTTACAGTCAGTAGGAAACAGAAACGAACTGCCTGACAAACATCAAAGCAATGGATTTGTCTGGGAGGGTAGATGCTTGAGGGCAGCTTCACAAACTCTGTTCGGCATCCATTCATCAAGCATAGCCTTCGCTTGAAGGGCAGTTCACCGTGCACAGAACAAGGCAGGTGCTGGTCTTCACACCTACCCCCTTCACATGTGCCTGAAGTTTCTGGACAGGAGCCAAGACAATCATCCTTTGTTCATTTATTTGGGGGGATTTCTACTTGCACATAGCCTGCCTTTTTACTGTATGAGTGGGTGTGACAGGAGACTAAACGTATGCTCCGCATGAGTGATGAGTTGATAGTTTACTAGTTACTTCTAGACTGTGTCAATAGTCCACAGGAAAATGTAAAAAGGGCAAAACTGACCCTGTAAGCTCAGTTGTCTGGGTTTTCCATCCTGATGTATCCCAATGTACTGCAAAGACATTCTGCCTCAGTTTGCCAATCTCAAAAATCCTCAAGAATTCCTTCCCAGCCATCTCTCAGAGATGCTGTGAAGAACAAAGGAGATTGCATAGGGAACAGCACTCTTAAGTTTTAAAGTGCTATACCAAGGTCGGACATCATCACTGGAGTRACCAAATAAATTGGGCCATCTACTTGTAAGCAGATGACTGCTGATAGCAGTTAGGTACAGCTGGTATAGGACTTTGAAATGAAAGTGATGCTACTCTTCTTCCCTAGGATAACATTCTACCCATCATACCCAGTTTAGAGCTGTGATTTCTTAAACCCTAGCTCCGTCTAGTGGTCCTTTGTTCTATTACAAGCAAGATAACTGGGTGGTTGAATAGAATTTGACTCTGAAATTATTTGGTGCGGAGTTCAGCTGATTTGGTGTCTATCCGCTTTATTTGTTTAGGTTGACTTGAATAAGGCTCTTAAGGTTGTGTTATCTATGCCCGAGGGGATATTTTTCAGGATGATATTAAAAACTTATCAGCAACTTCATAATCCTGTTTATGAAAGGAAGATAAAGAATGGCAATTGGGTAGTTGTCATAAAGAGTTAATAAAACTTAGATTTTAATGAGTTCCTACATACTATGGCTTAGATTAAAAAAACAGATGATAATTGCTTAAAATGAGAGATGTGAAAGCCTCATCATATGTTGGATACTTTACCCCTTCGTAGAACTGGATAAGCAAAAGGGTCAAGGAGATGCCTTCCTTTTCAAATGTAGTAGTACTGTGGTTCTCAACCTGAACTCTGTGTAACCTCCAGCCATTCCCCCATTCCCTGAGCTCACCTCAATGTATCTCACCTTATGAATAGAATCACATTCTTCTCCATCCCTGTTCTCATGGAGATTTACAGGAACAGCTTGCACACATTCCAGTGAACACTCCATCATTCCAGGTGCTGGTTTTGCAGGATGCTGTGCTTCTCATCTCTTACTTGCCACCTTCTGTTCCCTCCTCTACATTCAATCTCAGCGCTTCCTGAACTTGAACTTCTGTCTGGGATCTATCCCTGTAACTTAAGACACTGAGAGAACATTTTCATCTTACAAATTTGTCAAAATTTGGTAACACATTTGTGAAGGATTCACAATATATAGAGTGTACCTTGGTAAGCCTGCTGAGAGGTCCTGTACTTTCGTATGACAGTCATTTTCRTCAAAGGGATGGCTATAAATAATTCACCAGAGTTGCAGTTGGACTTCTGTAAGTGCCTAGAGCTTCCACCTAGAAAGATGCAGAGTCTGAAAGAAAAGCTGCAGAAATTTTCTGGACTTCCCTTTCTCCTCTTCTCGTTTCCCTCAGCACTACACCCATTTATGACTGTGTCGTACAATAGATTGTGGGCTTCTTGAAGTAAAGACAAACTTGAACCATCTTTGTTCTCATGAATGTAATGAAACTGTGCTACAACGAGTGAGTTCACAAAAGGTGTAGATAACGATGGATGCAGAATGCAGATGCAGAGAAAAGACAGAGATGGATGTCTGTAGATCAGCTGGGAAAAGAGTCCAAGAGAAGACATAAAAAATCTACTCAGCAAAAAGAAAATCTTATCGCAAGAAGATGATGACAATGCCACACACCAGAAGGGGCAAGTGGTATCATACAACAGAAACTGCATTTTTTCTGTCATGAAGACCACGAGGTGTGGGTGAGAGATTTTAGAAAACCAAGAACCCCTAAGACATATAGGAGAGTTGCTAGTGAGTCCTAAAAGACCAGGGAACCAGAAGGGGCAGGACAGGGCTTTTCCTCCTTAACCACATAAGAGGAAGAGAAACTGGACAAAGCGGTGATTTCAATACTCAACCACCAGGAGTGACATATCGAAAAGTGGAGAAATTCACAGCATGGGAAATTTCTGTTTCTACAACCCTTTCACTGATTTATTGTTTATTACATGTAGTTTTTTATTAACTTCTAATAGGCTTATAAGAAGTGTGTCAGGCAAACTATATCCGTTGGAAAACCCTGTTCTGCATTACAGATAATGCTCACAAATGCTGGGGAAAGGGAATGAATCTCCTCCGTGGGAATTCTAGCCCACAAATTTGATGACAGGGGAAAGGATGCACCATGTGAGTKTTCCAGCCAGTGTGGCTAACCCAATAGACATCTTTAAGTGTTTGTAGAATCTGATTATTTCCTTCCTAAGTGCCCAAAGCAATTATCGTCCTTTCTCACTTCCTGTTATCAAAAGAGAAAAGGATTATTTACCATACTCCTCCCCCTAGTGTAAAATAATTAAAAGTCATTTATAAAGCTTCATTTTATGATTAGAAAATGCACAGTCAAGCATGCTCTAGCATGCTTGATAAGTTCTAAGGAAGAAAAAAATGGGTTGTGATTGGCACCTGCTCTCAAGAAACTGAACAAAATACTTTGTGGATAATTATTTTCTTTGTGATTTCTTTCCTTTTGACTGCATTCATCTCTCCATTGTGCTGCCTAATCTTGTTTTTTATGTAAATAAACTGTAATTAAATTTGACCTCTTCACTGAAGACTTTCCAGTCTCCTCTTAACTGAGACTTGGTTCTTCCCTAAGGTCTTGGGGTCTTGGGGATCCCGATTCTTTGGAAGATATTTATTCTGCCATGGTCCATGCACATAGAAGTCAGAAGATGAGATGAGAATACACTTGGGTCCTCATTGCCATATCCAAACCACTATTCTCTATTTGTGTAGAATTTCTCTGGACTTAGAAGTTCATGATCAATAATGATGTCACTCTATTCTTCAATTCTTACCACAGATTTGGGGGAAATTGTATTCTGTCTTGTATCTGAAGGAGGTTGCAGAGAAATATTAAGTAGGCAGTTGGACAGACATGTCTAGCCCCCAAAAGAAACTTCTGTATGGAGCCAGAGATTAGAAATGATCACTTTGTCATTTTCAAAGGAGACCGAGAAAAAGTTCTGAAGTGGAAGACCTGGGAGAAGTGTTTCTGTAGAAGCTTAGAGGGGGAGAAGTGAAGAGCAGCATCATATGTTGGACACTATAAAGATAAACACTGGAAAAGGCTCATTGGCTTTCATGACTACTTGGCGAGTTGAGATCATAGCAGAAACGTTTTCAATGAAATGGGGCAGGAAACCAAAATACAATGGATTTAAAGCTTAAATAGAAACAGTCAAATAAAATGATAGACTGACCTAAGGTGCAATTAAGTATTGTCTTTTACCCCAAGCATAGAAATGCCAGATAAATTATTTTAAAATGTTTTAAATGTATTTCCAAGCTCAAAAGCAAACAGGGAAATTTCAGATGTCAAAATAAATAAGAAGTCCACAGCAGTTAGGGCCAGTCAGTGGTGTTGGTTGGGGGGAAGAGAATATTTCAAATAGGAATTGCTTTTAGGGGCTGAGGGTTTAGAGTCTGTGTGATGATGTGTGCTGAGGATACAGGCCTCAAGCATGGAAGAGAGCCTAGAACCAGATCCCTGAGGGAGCCAAGAGCCTGGAAAAATAGGATCTACCAGTAGAGCCCTTAGCCTGCCCAGAATATGAGCAGAGAGAGTTAACCTTCAAAATAAGCAACTCTAGACTAAGCATTCCACAAATATGGGATAGACTTTTTCCAACTACCTTCATTTTCTGGGAACACTGTGCCGAGATATTAATACAGAAGCTTCATATCACCCTTTCAGAAATAATAAGGAACTGTCCCTTAGGGGAACCTTATGCCAACCAGTACACCTGAAGACCCTGACAGAAAATTCCTCCCGATACTGAGCATACAGACAGAATTACAAGTTATACAAAAAAAAAAAAAAAAAAAAAAAACCAACACCATCAATGAAACTTCCTA